GGGTCAAGGCTCGAGAATTCCGAATAGGCGATCTGGTCCTCAGAAGGGTAACGGCCAATACCCGCGATCCAACAGAGGGAAAAATAGGACCTAACTGGGAAGGGCCTTACAAAGTAATATCAATCGGGGGCGCCGGGTCGTACAGATTAGAAGACATGGATGAAAAACTTGTAATACGACCATGGAATGTTATGAATCTAAAGAAGTATTACTTTTGAAGTATTCTCTCCCTCAAATGCTTGCCAACGACAAAGATAAAGGGCAAGACCCTGGGGGCAGAGTTCAAGGACTTCTGTCCCCGAAGCAAACACAGGAGCAAGCCTCCTGCAAGGGTAACGCCCTGGGGACAGAGTTCAAGGACTCCTGTCCCCGAAGCAAACACAGGAGCAAGCCTCCTGCAAGGGTAAGGCCCTGGGGACAGAGTTCAAGGACTCTTGTCCCCGAAGCAAACACAGGAGCAAGTCTCCTGCAAGGGTAAGGCCCTGGGGACAGAGTTCAAGGACTCCTGCCCCCGAAGCAAACACAGGAGCAAGCCTCCTGCCAGGGCAAGGCCCTAGGGACAGAGTTCAAGGACTCCTATCCCCGAAGCAAATACAGGAGCAAGCCTCCAGGAAGGGCAAGGTCATGGGGACAAAGTACAAGGACTCCAGTCCCCGAAGCAGACACAAGAGCTTGCCTCCAGAATGGGCGAGCAGCCCCGAAGACAGTTCAAAAAAAAAAAAAAAAAAAAAAGAGCAAAACATTACTGTACACAGAAAAAGGAAAGAAATACTCATGATTTATTTCAAGAAATAGGGGCTTTGCGTCCCCAAAGGCTACAAAAGAAAGCAAAAGAGATACAATCAAAAAGAAAAGGACTTTCATCTAGCTCTAGGCATCTCCAGAACATCAGCCGAGGGCGAGTCGGCAAAAAATGGTTGAGAAGCTTCGGGAGCAGGAAGGAGAGGTACTTCGGCAACAGGAATAGCTTGGGCAACTTGGGGATCAGGAGCATGGTCCGACGAAGCGTCCTCGGACAAGTCCATTATCACCGCCTCGGGGGGATCTTCCGAAATTTGCACCGGCATTGGGACCTCGTCCTCGACAGCGATTTCTGCTTCGGCCCGTGCCATCTCTGCCGAGGGCATGTACTTGTGCATTTGGAAGAGCGAGAAATTCGACGGGATTCCAGCAGACTGGAGCGCCTCGTCCCACCCTTTTTTGAAGAACTCCTTGCTGTTTTCCTCAAGAGCAGGGAGCACGTCATCGGCGAACTCTTCCCGGAGTTGCTCCTCCGACTTCCTATTCAGTGCCTCGGCTCTTATCCTGTCCAGCTCCTGGGTGAGAGCCAGACAGCTTTCCTCCGAGCCAACCGCCCTCTCCTCCGTGGCAGAAAGACGCCGCGTTTGCTCGGTAATCCTCCCCTCAGCATCGGCTAGGGCAGCACTTAGCTTTTCAGCGCCAACCTTAGCTGACTCGGCATCCTTGAGGAGTTGCTCGATTTGAGCAGCCTGCCCCTCCAGGGTAGAATCCCTGGCAGCTACATCCTCCATTGCCCGGGCAAGGGCCCCCTCCACCTCCTCCTTCTGCTTTCGGGCCCTCTGGAGGTCCATCCTAGACTCGTGGTACCGGACAGCAATTATAGATATCTGCTGGGTAGCCTGCAAAGGAGGGAAAAAGGTGTCACAAAAATGAAAAGCAACCGAGAAGAAACCAAACCAAAGAAAAGGAACTTACCAGCAGGGAATTCTGGATGATGGAGCGGAACAACACGGTCGTTGAACGCCCCCTATGAGCCGCCATGTCAGCCTGGAAATGCAGTGTCTCACTCACTGCATGGGCGACATGAGGATCCAGCAAAATGGAATCATCGACCTTGATCACTCGGTTCATGTGATCAGTGGCTCGGGGATTCCACTCCGCGGCTTCCATTGTCGGCGGAAGGGAAGGGGAGGCCTACTGCTGCTGTTGTTGCTGTTGTCGTTGCTGTTGCTGCTGTTGCGGAGGAGCAGGGGGTAACCCACGGCCTCTCCCGCTTTGCTGCTGAGCGGGAGGTGCCCTGGACCCTCGGCTGAGGCCATCGTGCCGATGTTTTACCCTTCTCTCCTCCTCTATCTGAGGATCTCAGTCACGCACTTGGCCCCGACCGAGAACTCTGGAGGATGGGGTGGAACTGGTCCCCGCAGATGAAGCGCCGCCGGTCGATCCTCGACCCCTCCCGGCAGCAAGGGCTTGCCTCTGCCTTAGGAACCCGAGGTCGATGCGAGGAGTGTTGGACATCGCGACCTCAAGCGTGTCCTCGGCGTCCAGAGATTGAAGGACTTGGAAGTCTGGCCACAAGTCTCCTCCCGAAGTCCCCACCTCGGCGTCCAAAGGAACAACGTCCTCTCTGACCCCGAGCTCTTCAGCAACTCCCTCTACCTCTGCCTCCGAAGCCCGATCCGGGTCTTCCTCCAAGTTTTCCTCAACCTCTAACCTCGTCGCCTGATCGAAGAGTTCAGACCACCGCGAAGGATCAAAAGGCTGAGGAAGCTGTGAAAATTTCTTATACCCGGGGGTATAATTCAGCAGGATATTGGCAGCCCGGCCGAACCCGTCGTCACCAGTAAAACTCCAAACCGTGACTAGGTCGGCGAAGTTCACCAGCGACCGAGGGGGAAGAGCTGTTTCCCGAGCAGGAATATCTGCACAAACAAGAAAGTAGTCATGAACAAGGGAAATCTGGAAAACAAAATAGTAAACCCGAAGGAACCGACGTACTTGTCGTTCTCCACTCCAGGGGGCATAACAAGTCGTTATACTCGGGACCAACACCTCTCTGCCAAGATCCCTTGAAGATAAGAATATCATCCTTGTACCCCTTGTCCGAGTCGGGAAGATGGGTTACAAGGTACATGGAGGGGTCCCTGGCTTTGAGGTAGAAGTGTTGGTGAGGCATGACTCTCAGGAGGGAATAACAAAAAAGGAGATCGTTGAGCCCAATATTTACCCCGAGGCGCCTATTGAGCTCTAAGACCCCCATGATTATTCAGAAGACATTGAGGCAACATTGTCCGGGGAAGAGGCGGAAATGAGAGAGGAACTGAAGGAGTAAGGGGGGTAAAGGAAACCTAATTCCTCCCTTTATTATGACCTTAGTATAGAATGGCATGGCATCCTCGGCCCCGAGGGTAGAAGAGTGCACCACCTGGTCATAATTCTCTACATCTACGCTCGGGGGAATGCCGTACTTGGCCCTAAACCTATTGATCTGCTCATTGCCCTTTACTTTATACTTCCCCGACCCCGAAGAACCAGCCTGAGGATTCTCGGGAGCAGGGTGACGACGAGGCATCTCTAAAAAAGTGAGAAAGAAGAGGGTGTTTGTTCTTGAAGATCCCTGAGGAAGTTTTCCGAGGGTTAAATCGCTATGTATCAAACGGAGACACCTCCAGTCATCGGAAAACAAAAGGATAGGAAGAAGAAAAGAAGGAAGATACTGGAACTCACCCGAATGTCAAAACGAAGTTTTTTCTGGAAAACCTTAAAGCGACTCCTTCCAGAAAGTTCAGAAGCAACGATGGGTCTGCTGGCTTTAAGACTTTAAGGAAGAATAGCGCGATCGACGATGGAAGAAGAAACTAATCTCCAGCGAAGATTCAAGAAGAGGCTCTCTTGAGGAAGTTCGGAATGGCAAAATGAGGAAAATGGAAGAGGAGCCCCCTTTATATAGAGGCAATTTTCATCATTAGGCGCGAAAAACGAAACGGCGCATTTAATGCGCACGACATTCCGTGACGGGGAAAGCGGCTCGAGGTAATGATGAAGCAGCTGTGGTGGTTGGGAAACCCTTCGTCTCCTTACGACGCGTGCCCTCGGTGTCAAAAGATCGAAGGCTGGGGGGCAGTTGATGGGACTTTTTTGAAATACCCTATGATGAAGACACGTGTCCTCGGTATTATTAAAACACTGTTGCTAAGATCAAGCACCATCGGCTCACAAGGCCCTCTCCCCTGAGGTACTCGGCATATAGGATCACGCATGTTTTGCACCGACACGTGGCCTCGGTCTGATACGGTACCTCGGTCGGTGCCCCTACCTCGGTGCCAAGATGATCCTTCCCTCGGTGCCGAGGTGTACCGTCCAGGATGCCTCCTCTACTCCAGGATAAGCTATTGACGTACAGGTCATTAGCCTAGGCTATTCTAGGCTATTCATCATAATCTCGTCTTACACAAGTAATGTCAGAACGTACTGGAATGCAGAGGTCGCAGCCAATAAGGGATGGACGCGTGGCATATGATATCACATCGAAGACAGACAAACCGCATGCCGCTGCTGACACGCGACTTGGGAAAGCAAACAATTAATTGCATCATTCCCTTGATGAGACCGCATTCAATGCGGTAAGGTTCGGAAATGAAAGGCAATAAATGCTCCTAAGACAGAGCATTTATTGCGTCCTCCTCGAGAGGAGCACATTGTACCGTCGGCATCCCGATGACCCAGCATTGATTGCTCGGGACCTCGAGCAGTTAATTAGAGAAGACATTCCTCAACAGGATCAATGTGCATGCTACCTGCACCTAAGGGTCACCTACTGACCACACTGACAGCAATCATGAGCTTTTGAGGTATAAATACTCATTGCAAAAGGCAAGACGAGTATACAACAACAAACTCTTTACTACAATACACACTCAGTGTTTTCTCCTTCCTCTCTCTCACTCAAAGACTGACTAGACCGTCGGAGGGGATACGCCGGAAAACACTCCGGCGCCCTTCTAACTTGTTCTTCTTTGTTCCAGGAACCCCTTTCAGCCTTATCGGATCCGTCTCCAGCTCCCCCAGGGTCTCCCGTTGCCGTTCCAGGCTACCACCGGACCTCGCAGGCTGTTCCAGGCAGCGTGGTTGGTCACTCAACTGGCTCAGTCGAAGTTCACTAGGGGAGAGATCTATTCTCGTTTTTTATATTGTGCAGGATCTTGCACGCACACCTTATATATACACCATCGCCATGGCAAATCTCTCTCTTCCACTTCATGATCGAGACACCATCGTCACCGGAGCCTCCCGACTCCCGAGGAATTGACCGAGGCATCGCAAGTTATTGGCCACGGAGCTTGAAGGTACTGGGATTACTGCAAATTTGTGTGGCTCCAGAGGCGGTGGCGACGGACATGTTTTTCGAGGGGAGAATGGAGGAGATGGTGAGGAAGGTGTTAGGGATGATTCCGGGGGGAGGTTGGGGCAGCCGGAGGATGTGGCTCCGGTGGTTGGGTTCTTGGCTAGTGACCATGGTTCGTGGATTAATGGTCAGGTCATTCGTGTCAATGGTGGCTTTGTCTGAATCAGTGTGTGAAACGGATCAACAAACTATATATGAACGTTCTCTACTGCTTTTGTCCTGCTTAGATTCAATAAAATTATGCAGATTTAGGAGAAAATATTACTTGTACGGGTGGCACTGTATGTTTTTTGAATAATATGAATCTGTATGCACTGTGTCCTGTTGGGTGTATGCATGCATGGGTGGTTGCTGATCATTGTAAGGATGAGGATTTTGATTTCGGTATTCTTATATGGAGTCACTGGGTCAGACACGATACGTGAAGAGTGGTAGATTTGAAAATGAGTTTTGAAAGAGACGTTAATAATTATTGGATGAATCTATTTCAGATTGTCAGATAAATTTATTGTCATATTTTATATTATAAATTATTTGTAAAAAGCGTAATTGTTATGACCAATCCTAACCGTGTTAATCTAATCTACTAATTCCTTGTAGTGGCGAGAGCGTTTGTTTATTGGACCGATGAGTTTGTTTGGGATATAATAGTGGTACAAAAGGGTGGGATCGGGGAAAATAGTACGTAAAACCCATTAATACTTTATTTGTTAACTATATTTAGCAAGGTATTAATTTTCGGATCCTAATACCAACATGATATGAATAGTGGTATTAAACTCATCTACATGGATATATCTAATACCAACTAAGAGGTGGCATTAAAATGAGGTAGAAACTAACAATAGTATTACATTAGTAAATTATGACATGGACCCTTTTAATACCTAATTTTCAAATTCAAAACAAGGGTATTAAAATTAATTTATATAAAATAAAGTTTTTAATTTTGTTGTGAGGACCATAAAAAAAGTAAATTGTAATATTGATGTTTCAAGCGTCTAATAATTTTAATCAAACAGAAGGTATTTTTTTTTTGAACATATAAACAGAAGGTATTTAAATTAATTATCAAATGCAATCATTAATTTTATGTGGGACCCACATACATCACAAACATCACAAGCCAAATATAGTATATGATTAAAAAAGACATTAAATTATGTCTTCCATACCCATAGCGTTGGAGAAAATAAAAAATAAATTTCTAATCTCATCCATCCTTCTCCTTAAAACAAACACACCTGCATAGTATGAAGAAACTATGCCGACAAATGACACTTAACAATTTTGTAATCTTATGATTTATTATTGATCAATGGAGGGGGTGGTGTTGAGAGTGAGGGTGGGTGTGGGGGTGAGAGTAGATGTAGGGGGCTGATGTTTAGAAAGATTATTCAGACTCACACTGTCATTTTGGTTACATAATAGGTTTTTTTCTATTAAACTGGAGGATTTTTATTTTTATCATGACAAATATACATACATTGTAACATTAGAAATGAAGATGCGAGGCGTAAAGAAGATATACGTCATCAGCCTATTTCACTTTACATGAATATTATGTACATTAGAAAGGCAGAATGTAAGTGAATGTACAAACTGCATCAGAACTTGTATGTTTAAGGCTCTGAAGATGGCTTTGCTAGGTATTGCTGCCACTCTTCAGGCATTCCCTTTCTCTTTCTCAGCATCTTTATAGTTGAGCTTGTCAGTGGTATGGCAACTATGTCATAATCCTTAGGAGCCTACAAGATCAAAAGCAGCCTTACGACAGGTCCGTGCCAAATAAATCGATAGATAACTCATTAAAAACACACATAGATACACACACAGGCATGGCTATTGCTGTTGGTTGCTAAAATTCGATAAAAATGCTTTGTTATCGGAAGCTTGAGCTTGTTTCATTGATGATCCATTGGGAAATTCATCACCCTTTACCTTCTTGCTGTGAAAAACACATATACACTAGCATAGCTATTGCTGCTGTTGGTTGCCAAGATTCGATAAAATTTTTCATCCACTTTTCTGAACGAAATGAATTGCAAAACATATTGAATTGGAAACTAGTTTCACTAGTACCAAAGGCATGACAAAGAGAAATAGACAATACCTTGGGGACCTTCATTAGCTTCATATTTGCTTCCTCTACAGTTTTCTGGCCTTTTCTCGAGTTACATTTTTCACAAGCAGTAACCTGTTTCGTGCAAGAACTGCATCAATACAATACAGTAATCGGATTAAAAATAATTAAAAGGTACATAAAAGAGAAAATAATGGAATGACCCGAGCTTCCAATATTTATTGCTTCCAAAATTTATGGGCAACATCCTGATACTTTCAGTAAACAAAGCACTTCGACACATGATTCTGTTTAGAAACTGAGTTCCTCATTTTGTTTCCTTATTTTGTGATAGAACATGGTTCCTACAAGCTACACATATGCCATCTCCACTATTCACTTCCTAAACTGGATTTGTATAGAGCATGAATCAGCATTGCCTCAATATTTTTTGTCAATGGAAAGAATTTAATTAAGAAATTCATTAATAACAAAATTATTATCTCCAGTGACCTCATAACTGTTATGAGCCTTGCGAGCGACCAAAGTGCTCTACTCCGCGTTAAAGAGAAGAACCGGAAACCAATAGACAAACAAGCACCTCTTCAAAATTAATTATCTCCATATCCTTTAGTCTTTCATGCTTTGACTATTGTCTCCCTCAGATTTAGTAATATCCTTCATCTCTGATCGAACTTCATTAGTGTCAAAAATTCTGACATCAATGTCTTCCGGCCTTAATTGATGATTTAGCAGGACTAACTCTCCCATGAAGATGCACTCCAACCCCTTCTTGGCCAAGTCACTCAAGATATCTTGCCTTATTTCAACACATACCAAGCACCTCTTTAAATCTATCCATCAAGAACCACAGTTGCCCCGGGAGGGAACCAACCATTATAAATTCATTGCAGTAACATATGGTTTTTTTTATACAACACAGAATATTCCAGTAACATATGGTTAGGCATTCAGCAATCTAAATCGTCTCACCAAATTTTCCCATGTCCATTCTCCACCACGTGCAATTGGAAGAACGTGGTCAATGGTCAAATTCTCACCTGAAGAACAATACCTGTTGAAAGTAAAAATACTAACAGGTTAATCTACGACAGTAGAATTACTCAAAAGTTGATGTACATGATCTTAGTTGTAATAGAGCAAAGAATTAACATGTTATTATCACATACACCTGCTAAACTTTGTCCTATTGTGAAGGAAAATTTATAGACAGTGGCAAACTTACAACAATATGCAAATAACCAATCTCAAGGTCCCCAGCAAGCAACAAGGATAGCGAAATAGAAATCACCAAGAGACAACAGTAGTAGTGTTTATTTTTGGCAAGGTTTACCCACCTCACCAGTGAGGAAATAACATGCAGAGAGCATATCTTTCCTTCAAAAAGCTCTAAACAGTAAGGGTTTGTTTGGTTTAGGCATTAAATAGTATTGAATTGGATAAACTCATCCATCCCATACCCATCCATCCGGGCCTTGGACTTAATTATAGTGATAATATCTTCTCATCCCATGTTTGGTTCATGTATTAAGAAGCAATGGGCCCCACATATATTAAGGTACTAAAAAACCCTCAAGATATTTATATCCTAGAGATTATTTAGGATAAAAATATCTTTTGTCAAAAAATACTCCAACCGGACTACTGAAACCAACCAAATAGGTGGGTTTATTTAAGAGGCTATATGTGTGTTTAAAAACACTATTCATTTGGGCTGGAAGTATTTTTAGGTGATAATATCTGGCTCAAAGTGTGTATCCAAACAAGAGAGTAAATGAGATAAGGTAGGCCCAGACATTATTTTGTCCAAGATTCCCGCCTAATGCCTAAACAAAACACACCCTGAATAAGATGATAAAGTGTACTGTGTTCTATATGTCTACATGTCCTCTGTTGCTTGTCAAATGATGTGTGTTTGTGTGCGTACTCCATGCAAATTCCTCAGTAAATCAGAGCAAACCTACAAAAGCCATTGCCTGGTGCTAGTCTAGGCATTATAAAGGGTGTTGGGAGGGGTAGATGATACAGACCTTGGTTTTGGCATTTTAATTCAGTTTACTGAAAGAATAACTCTTATCAGAATTATGTTAAAAAAAAAAGAAAGAAAAGATGCAAGTCTCTTTCTTTTACCGAGATCGGATTGAAAGACAACTTACGCCTTTGACAAATTTGACTATTCTCCCTGTTACTGAAAATCCACATTGAATTTTTCAAGAGAATCTCCGGGAGAGCTAGTAACCTGGTACTGAAAAAGGTGACTCCAGCATCTAGAGATCCCAAACAAGGGAAACTGGGTCCAAATTGTGGCTACTATCAGACTCCATGTTATGTTTTTCATGGCTAACAGTCCAAGCACTTTACCATCGAACCAAACGAAATGACCCCTCAACTAGTTCATGTTGAATTCATGCCTCCTACTAATATGGTAGGACTGATTTGCTCAAGACCAGAATGCTAACTTAGCAATAGAGAGAGCATGCTAGAGTTTCCTTCAGACCCAATAAAATTCGTAAATAATCCACAAATGGTGCATGAAATCCTAGCGTGATGAATAGAAGTCAAGACTTAAAAAGGAATAATATACTGCTATACTCTAACAAAATGACTCTGATGATTATTATAGGAATAGCCATTTCTTGAGTCCACCTTATTTCTCATGGGAGGAAAAGTAATAAGTGTTTATCTTTTGGGGTTACAAAGTTACAATTGTTGTACTACCCATGTTTTCTAAATATTAAAATAAACAGTTTTTCAATTGATCAAAAGGGTGGAACCCATCGGCACAATACTTACTGACAAGTGAAATCGTCGCGCTGAAGTATATTTGTACGACTAAGATTGCTTTTGAGTCTTCTTCTCTTAACGACCTGCAGTAAATGTGGAACCTGGAAGAAAACTTACAATTAATCCTACTGAGCAAATGGGGTAACTAATGAGGGGTAGCAATAATAGAACCTTAAAAAACAGATGTCCATACCCTTAAGACAGCTGGTATATAGAAGGATCCATTAGGAGAGTTTACAGTTTGGTCATAATACTCCAGAACATCAGCCTGCATAAAAACAAAGGCCAGAATTTAATATCACTTTACAAATATGCTTTTGCGTGTGGACATAGAGGTTGGAACATGTTTATCCCCAATAACTCGACAAAACTAAAGATTAAATGTAACAGAACTACTAGTAAGAAGCAATCTTGATTCCTTAACAAAAGAGTCATTAACCAATTTGCACCCTGTTAATCAAGGGCGTGTGGTTGTCCTCACATTCCAACCTACAACCTCGTGGTTGTTAGCCTGACACCTTTACCACTACAACAGGCAATGGCCACTCAATCTTAATCCCAAAATCAGAGAAGCAGAGGGAACCTAATATGTGTATATGTGGTCCTTGACATGATGAACAGCTGCAGAGATTACAGACGCCAATCAAAGCAGAAAGTGAAAATAAATAACACTCGTAAGCCAATCCAGGAGCTACTGCAGTGCGGTCTAACCTTGTCCATAAATTCCAAACAAATAGCACGCTTCCAGCAGACAACATTGACGGGCCTGGCACAATGCACTCATGGTCATTTCAATTCAAGGGCAAAAAGGTATGTATCGTAATGCATGAAAATGTGTCCAAAGTAAAAAAAAAATTAATCATTAAGACGAGTATGGGGTCTTAAACAAGCATCCAAGAAAGCCCAATCATAAAGCACCTTAAAAGGTCAGCAATATTCATTGCTACCAAGCTAGACCATGATGGAGTAATTGTGAGTTTGTCCATTAGAAATTTTCATGGGAAATAGACTCCTTTCCGGTGCTAGATTCCCTCAATTCTAGATCACCCGCCTGTGTATTGTTGTATTACAGATTCTCATGATAAACAGGTTTAGATCCCATTTATAAAAATTAGGTCCACTTGAACTTATTGCTTGTAATCTATCATTTCAGAGTTAAGTGAAAGTGTAATGGAGAGGATCACGATGAGATACAAATAAGGTAATTCAGTAAATTCAGTGTTGGAAAAGATTCGAGTATGTTATTATTAAACTGGGTACCTCCCAATATTACCTAGATCGTGAATCGTTTTAGTATGTGGTATGAGTACGTGATACGACATTTTTTTTAGGTACACGGTACGACAGGAGTAGACTTAGCTGGTACAGTATTTTATCACAATTCAATTTGAAACTCTTATATAAAACATTTTCAGGACTATACAACATACAATATCATATATCATAGAACATTTGTACACACTATATATATCACCAAAATTTAACTTACATTTGTGCTCAATTTTCTATTATCTAAAATAATATATAATTATAAATATATATATGTAGTCAATTACTATGTGTTTTATATTTGTGTTACATTATATGTTATAAAACGAATCGATTTCGGGTTAATATTATAATTTAATTTGGGATCATACACATTGATGATTTAAATCACGAACTCACCCATTTGAGATCGATGTACACATGTCATGGATCGTCACTGGTTTAGGGAATTCCCGCAACTATAACTCTATATATGCCAAAGTAACAAATTAGTGATCCTTAATATCTACACCAACATATCAATATCTAAATATATATAACATAATCAGCATGGCACATTACTGAAGAAACCAAACTCCAAATATGAAATTGTTTTTTGTTTTTCTTAAGAGAACGGACCTGTAAGAGATGTCTAATACCAAACCCCTGAAACAAGACAACTCGTCCCTCTCAAACTCTGGGTCCTCCAATACGCCATCAAAATCACCATCTTTACTGACATTTGAGCTCTCATTTTTATTGGGATGATGCTTGGATTTGCTTAAAGACGATGATGCAGCGTATAATCTGGTACTAGTAGAGCCACTGAATCTGCGCTTCCCCTTTCGAAGTTGCAGTGGATATGGTGTTGCGTCAATGAATCTCATCCCACCAACACCAAGTACCATATAGTTATGGCTGCGACATGGGTCTTTGGGTTCGAACGGCATTGATACACCATCACCACCGAAGAGAGGCTTTAGGCGTCCTTGTCCTGTGAACAGTGCCATTACATGAAACAATAGCGAGAGAGAGAGAGAGTTCCCCCTTCGTTTACTTCTCTCTCTTCACAAGAATTGACCTGAAAATCGTATCTCAGTTCTCTCTACTGAGCTGATTGTTTCACAGAATACTCACAAATTTGATCCTAAGAAGCACTTCAATTTGTTCATCTTTTTCGTTACTACAAAACAAATCATTGAGAGAAGAAATAGATGGGGGGAAGGAAAATGTTTCGTTCACGGAAAAATCCGTTGCCGCATATTCTCCCCTCCCGCTCGGAATATCATGGTCAAATAACACTTTGTTCCCCTAATCTATCATATATTTTTATATTATTCCCACTACTCTCGTATTTATCACATTACACATTTAATTATGTGGTTAGTTTTATCGTTTTAATTACTAACATCTATTATAATTTTGAAAAAAAGGTTATTTCATTCCTCAACTGTGAATTTTTTCTCTTTATCTCAACGCATCTGTCAAAAACGATGACAGACATTTAGTTTTGGGGAGATGTGAAATAATTGAAGTAGTTAAAAGGAATAATATGAAAAATTCAATACTTCAAGCGGTAAAATAGAATTGAGTCCATAGTTATGGGGTTTAAGGTACATATAGCCCAACTGTCATCTGCTTAATCAAAGCGGAATGACGTTTTTGCCCCTTAATACTTTTCTCCATGTGTAGAAGATGACTGCTTGTATGCATCAATAAGTAACAAACTTATGTCCGGACTCCGAACCCACCGATTCAGGCTTCATTCTGGTCTCTACGCATCGCACTAGTTCGGATAGCTATTGAGACTTATTTGGACTCATGTTCGGCCATAAATAGGCTGGCAAGCAGGTTACAAAATCTGTTGAAACAAAAATTCAACTAATCCCCAATAATCCAATTCTACAACTCTTTTTACTGAGCGAGACTTTACCCAAATCTAAAAAAATTTGCCAAAGAGCCTTGCTTTAACCAGGAGAGTCAGCAAGCTACCGAAAGCAAAGCTTGACTCCCCCTTTTTTAAATTTTCAATTAAATTTTCAATTCCTTCTTTTTACAACCTCACTACATCTTGTATGTATATACTATATAATATCATAAAAATGAAACATTATGTATGACCACTTAGGCCAAATAATAAAAATATCTAAAGATATGTTTAGTAACAAAGAAAAATAGAAAAAGATGAAAAAATAAATAGTTTAGCATATGAAAAGAGAAAAATAAACCCGTCAAATAAACATAAGATATGATCTATCCCCGAGTGAAAATCTAGTGTTAACGGCCCACGCCTTCAAACTAACAAGAAAGCACCGAGCTTGATGGCTCCCACAATGGCTACTAGAACCCCAAAAGAGGATATAAATTGCATTATATCCAGAGTCTCAGAAGAAATCTGTTCGACGATTCCCAATCAATTCACTTTGGCCTTATGTGTTTATATGAATGCTTGAATGCCGCCTGTTTTCAAGAGCAAATTCTACCCATGGGTTCCCAATGAAACATAATACGAGACAACAATACGTTTCTCTCGAGAAAAAATGGAAAGAGAATTATTGTTATTAAAGAAAGAGTCTACATGAAAGAACCAAAATTGGACCCTTTTTCCATCCCCCCTTGTGGCAGCAAAATGGTCCTTTAACAGACCACCACACAAGACCACACCCTTGATCCTGATCAGAGCTCAGCTGACAGATCCATCACACAGCTTTCAAAGGATTTAGGGGAAATGACCCAAATTCAGCAAAGAAACAAGATGTTATACACCCGTCAACTCTTTTAACTTATCAGACCCACAACGACAAGTCAGCTGCCTGAGAGCCCGTTTAACATATTCACAGTTCAGTGTGTGCCTCCAACATGCCAGTGAGAAAGCAGTATTTGGACTTCAACTTGCAAAAACCAAGCTGGTGCCTTCCCTGAATGCATATCTGCCAACAATGAAAAAGTAAATAAGCAGGTTCCAGATTAGCCCAAGGAGATATACACTTCATTGAAACAAAAACAATCTCCGCTTCACACGAATATGACATTCTGCAGTTTGAATTTCCTGAAAGGATGCAACTTTAATTTGCAAAGAGAGAGACACAGAACAGAGAGAGATCATGCTATACCATTGCTGGTTCTTCCTGAACTCTGTAAGCACAGGATATATGTTCTCAAAGGCTGTATACGTTTCTTCTCTTACCTAATGAATTGGAGAAAGACCGTCAGTGAGCAACCATACAAGAAAATGAAGTGAAATTGCATTAATAAATGAAGAAAGCCAGAATCACCTTAGCTCCCGTAAGGACTATCTTTCCTGACACAAAGATTAGAAGTACAATCTTTGGTTGTTTCATACGGTATATCAGCCCAGGAAATAGTTCTGGTTCATACTGTGCATTAACACAGCAAAGAAGAGATTGACAAGTGCCCCAAACAAAAGAATGCAGCACATATATGGCAGAAGTATATGAATTCCTTTATGTTCAGAGCAAAGAAGTCTATGTATCAAGCACTATAGTTGATTATGAAAACCATTAGTAACTAGAGCACTTGAAAGAATATGCATAGTTGAATATCAGTGATGCTGGTAACTAAGAATTGTCACTTACACTTGAAAAGGCACCATGGGAATATGCTAAGCCTTCAAGTCTGATAGGAAATTTAACATCACAAGAGCCAACTATATTCTGAATCTTGAAATCCTACCAATCAGAATAACCAAATATTGGTAAAAGGCAGGAGTGCGGAAAATCAATAAGCTTTCAGAACACTAACTCCTCAACAATAACCAGCATGTGTTTGCATGCACTGTGCACAGGTGTATCTATGTGTGTGTGTCTGTGTGTGTGTGTGCGTGAGAGAGAGAGAGTACCTTGAACTTGGCTGGGAACCCAAGTTTTTGGATAATTCGGGCATACTGGAACACAAATTTTCAGGTCACATTAAGCAAACTCTTCGACTATGTTTGTCATAAAATTGACTTATTATATCCACAGTCATAACAGAATACTTCCATATTGGAGGTTTTATCATTCGCTTCCAATAAATATGTAGCTGACCAAAATCAACATAAGCTCCAGATATTAATCAAAATACTAAAAAACTTTGACTTTAAGAAAAAGAAAAAACAATATGAATAGAAACGTATAACAAAAATGGGTTAATGAATTGAAAAAATTTATAAACATGCTATGATCAGAATTATAGGTTGGAGAAGATTCAGAGGTCATCACCAACCTTCCTCGCTGCCAGTTTGGACTGGTGTTCGCTCTTTGCTCCAGTGCAAACCTAATAACAACAAGGACATTGAATCATGAGAAATTCTTTCCACTAGACATCTTCATTTCACAAACTTAATGAACTCAACTTGTTTTAGACTTTGTAACAAAAAGACCAATGTCAAGCACTGAAGTAGATTGAGAAGGGGTGGAATCCAAACAAATCCCCATTCAAGATAAATAAAAAAGTGAAAGAATCCAGACTTTGGTAAAGATTTTAAAGCATTAAAAAAATATGAAAGGCCTGTAATAACATGTTATGACAAACTCACCATCTTCCCAGATGCAAAAATCAAAGCTGTAGTCTTTGGATCCCTAATCCTCATGATGACAGCAGCAAAACGCTGTAGAACCATTCACATACAAAAAAGACAAGTGATTTCCTGGACATGTCACTTTTATCCGCACAAAAATAAATAAAAATTAAGCACTCTCATGAAAAGTGACTGCAGATGTGGACATACATTGAGAGTGTGTGTGCACAAGAGAGAGGAGGAGAGGGGGGGGGGGGGGGGAAGAGAGCAATACACAAATGATTAGAATCTAACAAAATTAGGCTGCCTAGCACATTGGTTTTACAAACCCCCACCAGAGTGTCACTCCCCACAGAATCACTATGTAAAAACCTCTTTTGAACTATTCTGAATAAATAATAAAACTTTGCACAGAAAACATACCTTTGGATTATATTCTGCATTTCGCGCTTGTAATGCAATGGCCTTAAGATCTAATTTGCAATCCAAGTTGACTGTTGAGACAATATTCCTAAAAGGACATGATATATGATGATCAGCTTCTGTAATAAATTTCCCGGAGCCAAGTATTCACATACAATAGCAGAACTGAAGCATGGATCACACACTCATTATAACATATTCAAGGAATAGCCAGAGTGTACAAAATATTAAATTGTAAGCAACACCTACAAAAACTGACCCATACCATACTTATGCATCTAAACTTTTATCCCATAGTAAACTAAAATACTCTACAATGAACACATGCATGCTTCATGGCTTGGGCTAAGAAGTGAGCCAAACCAAAAACAACTGCAATAAATAACCGGATCAAAGCAGGTATCACAAGTAAATAAATGTAACCGTGGGAGGTTGAGCAAAATATCACTTAATGAACAACCATCGATCACCAGAACAAGTGACATGCATCATGCCTCAACAACTTACAAACTACACCTGTTTTCAAGTCAAATGCAATAGCAAAAGGCTGCCAACAGAGAATAGGGCAAAATTGATATGTGCCTTAGGATCAAATCACAACTGAATGAAAACATAAATGGAGGTGCTTCTAGCAAACAATTGCAACAGATTTTTTATTAATTAGGGAAGGTGTATTGCAAAAACTTGAACCTATTGACCAGATAAACTTCAGAAACTTTAGCAGGCTGATTAGTTGGTTGATAATACAAAGCAGGGCAGGGCAGTCTGATCTTGATTGAGAACACATGCAATGTCAATGATGGCTAGTTTGACTTATCAAGAAGACACGAAACTTGAAAGGTTAGCAACAAAAGCAAATTGATGAGGCAAAGACCATCAATTTACATTTCAGTAAAGTCACAGTACAACCTAAATTCAAACCCTTTGCCATGTTATGGGCAGCATAAAATCATTCTAATTCCCATCTTTTTAGTTGTGTTATGAATTTCACATATGGAAATGGCAAGGGTCAAAACAAGTTCATTGTCACTATCTCCGCATGGGTTTTGTCCGTCTTTACCCAAAATTAACAATGTCTGTCTTAGCAAGTCAATATTCAATACAAAGATGGGAGGGTTGTACCCAATTTGGTTCTCATTTATTGCAACAACCGGAGAGATAGAAACTTGGACATTATTTGTGTTTATATATTGAAGTTGCTTCATTAATCTTTTTGACGAAAAAATTCAGAAAGAACTTTATTTTGTTTTCTCAGATAAACAATTGCAACACAAACACAAGACAACAGTCACAATAAATTAAACCAACACTGACTATACAACTCCCAATTTGCACATAACAAATTTGAATTGATCAACATGTGAGGCGACAGATTCACAAGATATAATGGGAGGAGGAGGAGGGGTTGTTGGGGGAATACTTACTGAAGAGTAGGAACAATCCCAGAAGGGTGCTTGGAAAGATCCACAGGTTGGCTACCTTCCAAGCCTTGATCCGCCATCTGCTGTCTACCCCCTCCTCCTTTCTCTCTCTCTCCTGTCCCTACCCTTCGACACCTCTAGTCAAAAATTCTCTTTCTTATCCAAATTAAAGTTAAAATATAAGTCAAGGATTCCTTTGTGGCAGATTCTTTTCTTTCTTCAACCCAACAAGACGATCAAATTGATAATCCGATTCAATAAGCAAGATTATAAGTTTTACGACATCGGAACCTGATCTTTGAAATCTAGGGTTTCATATAAGGACGATTAGAGCTCAAAATCATAGTGAAGAAGGTTCAGATCGAGCGAGAAAACTGAAAAGGAGCGCCAAAATTTTGAAATTTGGCAGCTTTTATAAAGGAATTCGTATATATATAGGATTTAGAGCATCTTTCAGGAGAGCTCTAGAGAGACAGAGATGAGGATGAGAAATAAATATGAGACGCTACGAGGACAACGATGTTTAAAGAGAGGAGAGAGACAGAGGCGTACACGAGGCGGCGATGATTGGGGCTTATCTACCCCCGGGGTATTTGTAGAGGGTTACCGGGTAGGGTTACCAGCTGGCCGGGTATTGCCCGTTAAATGATTTCCCATAAGACTGGATCCACATGCTTCTTATTCAAACCGAATACGATTCAATTATTAAACAAATTACACAACACGATTTATTTAATTCATTTAATAAATGAATTGCATTGGATATAACTTAGTTAACATGATAATCTTTTTAACCTGTCACCTACTTGACTCGTTTATTTTGAACATTCTCTTTTTTCTAATAATTTTATTTAAATAGGTGATAAATGAATTATTAATATACCTCACTTGAGCACGACTCATTTATCAATCGAGTTTGACAGGTGCACCTGTTTACCACTCAGAACCCAATAAGGTCTCACAAAAAATTACTTAATTCCGTATCAATTTGTGTCGTATCAAATTTTGACAAGCCAAATTCCTGAGTAATAGTAGATATCCAACCCGAAAATCAATTTGCAGTGCAATTTGAGGTGGATCAAAAAAATTTTCAATACACATTTTTTTTATTTTCTTTCTTTGACAAAGAAATCACCTATCATTTATTAGTGAATCTACTTATATATAATAAGTTACACTTAAATTAATAATACATAATTTGCTAAAAAGATAAATTGAAGAAATGCCTATTGGTGTGAATTTCACTCCCAATTCGAGCGTTGCTAAGTTAAATTCTAAATTATAAATCCCTCTATTCGACATCAATCCAATTGTAACTTCCATTTGAATCCTTCGATGCGTGAAATACTCATGCTTAAATTTTACTCAGATGGTATTTGATAAAATTGAAAGTTGAATACTGAAAACTGAATGTTAAATTTTAAGTGTTGAATGCTAAATTTTTTAATTCGCAGACTGTTTGTTATCAACTAAAATTTAAGTATTCAATTTAATCAAACAATTTGACAAATATAAGAAACTGAAATTTGAAAATTATTATTATTCTAATCTTATCATTCTCTTTAACCATCTCTTCGCAACTGTCTTGTTCCTATCACCCCCATCATAAAATGGTGGTGACAGCGATGGTGGTGGTAGTGGGGGTGACATAATGGTAAATGGCGATGGAACAATGATAGTGGTAGTGACAACAATGGTGATGGTGGCAACAACACTGTGGCAATAGTGGCAACAATAACAGTGGTAGTGGCAGTGACATAATAGTAGTGATAGTAATGGTGACACAATGGTGGTGATGGTGATGATGGTGGCTACAATGGTGATAGTGGTGGCAATACTATGGTGGTGGTGACGGCGGTGGTGGCAATGATGGTGATGAAGGTGGGGGGGCGAAAATGGTGGTGGAGGTAGTGGCGAAAATGGTGGTGGCAGTGATGGTAGCACAATGGTGGTGGTGGTGGTGATGGTGATAGTGATGGCAGCGATGGTGCCGATGGTAGTGGTGGCAGTGGTACAATGGTGGTGGTGGGGGTGATAGTGTTGGTGGTTGTGGTGATAACACAATGGTGTTGAGGGTATACTTGTCTTATATAGAAATTGATAAAATCCTTACTGACTAACATTTTCAGCATTAACTGATAAGTAGGTGGATTGCTATTTAAAATTTTAGCGTATTTTTCAGAAGAGCTTAAAATATTAAGTACTATGAGTAGGACTGTCAAAATTTGACAAGACACGATTAACCGATACGAATCAACACAAATTAAGCTGGTTTGGGTGAGATTTTAACGGGTTTGGGTGATAAACGGGTTGACACGCCAAACACGTTTAATAAACGGGTCGTGTTCGAGTGAGACTTGTCAAACCGTTTATCACATGTTTACCTGGTTTAAATAAAATTAATATAATAATAAATTAATAATTATTTTAAAAAATTAGCAAAAAAAAAAGAAGTAAAGAAATCAATTAAAAAAAGAAGTAAAGTAGTAGTTAAAAGACAAAAGATATGAGATAAGAAGCACTTCAAAGACAAAGACAAACCAATACCTTTTATTTTTGTCTCATATTGGAAAATGAGGGGAGATGGGGAGAGTTGAGTTGCCTATAAAAAACAATAGTCTCTTGTTTTTTTTATTTTAAGCCTTCAAGTCTTATTTTTATGAGATTTGGTTAAAAATTCTTTTTTTTTTTGAGGTAAGTGCAATTGACAATAAAAAAAAAAATGGAGTATTAAAATTTATTAATATATATATTTTAAATTAAATGGGTTAAATTAGTCGTGTCGTGTTACCCATTTACTAAACGGGTCGTGTTCGTGTTGAGATTTTTTACTCATTTATTAAACGTAGTACGGGTTTATATATTTTTCACCCACCACCCGTTTAACCTAACACGTAACAGTTTAACCCAACACGTTTGACACCCCTAACTATGAGTTTTAGATTATCAAACGAATTTAATATATTAAATGCTTAAAATATTTAGTTTTAAGCCAAAAGTGGTGTTATCAAACAGCTCCGACGAATTTGAATTTGTGAGTTTCGGATTTGAGGTTGATACTTGAGTTTAGTTCTTACTCTAATTTTGACTTGGCAGATTCGAGATAGGTTGATATAAACAAAATTAAGTTAAACTCAAATTTGTAAATTCAGTATAAATTCGACTGTGCTCGATCCGAATACAATCCAATTTTAAATTAAGTTGAATTTTTTTGTTAAAAACCAACTTTAAATGCTATTATAAGTTTTAATCTAAATATTATTACTCATAAAAAAACACTATGAACTGTGTCTAACAAAGATTCGTACAAGAATTTAGAAAATGAAATAAACAACCCTAAAAAAATTTAGTATATCACAAAGCAATTTAGGAGTAAGAACTTCCCCAAAAATTCCAGACTAACCAGACAACATATTCGACCCTAATTCAAAATTATTAATCATAAACAAAATACTAAAATTGCAAAAAGTATGACCTAATTTCGGAACCAAAACAGGTTCTATGTTTCGTTTGGTACGATGAAAAAATAGAATAATGAGAAATTGTAGAGATAAATAAAACATCATGTTTGGTAAGAAAAAAAAATATAAAGGATAAAAAAGTAGATAAATAAATTTTCCTTTAAACTCATTAAAATCAATCATTCTAAAATTTGGAGAAATATTATACTCACGTTGGATAAAAATATATTATTTACTTCTTTAACCTTTAACTAATTACTTATTTACATTAAACACCTAAACTCAAACTCATATACCAATCGGTGGAGTTAAATTATTAACACTCTATGTGTGTATTTGTACATTAGTGTGTTTATTTTTATTTTAAAAATCAAATAAAAAAATAGATGTATTTTTATGTGATTTGTGTTTGTTAAAACACATGACGCATATACCATAATGACATGGTGTATAATATATACACTAATCTTATATATGGACTAGGAATAACCCGGACCTGAAGGCATGGTGCAATTCAAAAAACATCGAGCGCTGAATTTGGACAAGAAATAATCAAACACTGAACTCAGACATGTATTAAGCTGAAAGTCTAAACTGTTCCCATAATCTGTGCCTGAAATTGTGCAATTCAAAAAATTGATATCAGCTCCATATAAAAATTGATATAACAATAAGTTCAAAATCTAAGCAAAACTGAAACAAATCAAAATGATTGGTTCAATTGATCTTGTGTTTGTGCCTAAAGACGCTGAATAACCAAAACATAACCAACAATTAGCAATAAATTTATTGGACAAAAAGTTAAACCCTCTGTATATTTAAAAAAAAAAAAATTGGCCAAAGTTTCCCCTAAAAATGGGACATTAGAAAATTTTCAATCTATATACACAATTTATTCTCATACCCAAAAAGGTTACTAAATATCTAACTATCACGCCACAATTTTGATTAATACAACCATTTACCACCTAACGCAAGTACGTAAATGAAGTCCATAACAACATATGAATTCCATAATAAAAATATTCATGTTGCATGCAAGAATACTCAATGCTTCAATCCAAAGATTTCAACAAACAACATTTATCCAATACTTTATGCACCAATCTATTGAAAAAAATAGAAAATGAATCCATGATTCCGAGAGAATGAAAGAAATAGATAAAAAACAATCTATAATTTTAAAATGAAAGAAATGGATGAAAAAGGGGTTACTGTAGGCCTAATGGGGATCAAAGGCTTGAATATTATTTTTGTATAACTTCACTGGAAAACAACCCCAAGCATGATTCCATATATGCCTGAAAATAATATAAGGAATAAAAATTAATTTCAATTTTATGGAACAAAAATTAATTATATACAACTCATGCTTGAAGGCACTGTATAACAAAAAAATCATTCAGTTCATGTTTGTGCCCGAAGGCACTATGTAAAAAATAAATTGCCAATATTAAGTAAAAAAATATTTATTTAAAAATCGTCAAAACTAATTGTATTTTCGAAATAAAGTCTCCTCTTAATAACTAAGGCGCAAGAAAAATCAAACTGTCTTATATTGTTTTTTTTTTTTTTTTTTGGGGGGGGGGGGGATAGGTGTGAATCAAAGGCATAATAAATGAAAATAATGTTATCAATAATAAAAACATAGAATACTAATCACAACATGCTAGTCAGCCCTCCCTTATGGAGACCTCACCTTCATTACCAATCCAATTCATGCACCATATTTACACTTGAGACTTCACTCCAATCCCGTCCAGATGGCAACACAACAGGAAAAGCCTGCATTGCATTGATTCCCACTTGGCCTAAAACAATGAGACTTCACTTAAAATGAATTTGGGCCAAAAAAAAGAGAGAAATAATACAACAAAATTTACAAAATTCGAAAATGTCTAATTCTTGGTTAAAAAATCAACAAAAGATGAAAAAAATTCAAATTTTGGTATTTATATCATTGATGTTCAATCCCCAAAAGTAAAGAATCAGAACAAAATCAACTATTCCCAATGCAAATATGTAACATAAAAGAACTAAAAATTTTACTATAGATCAAAAAATTAAAATATATGTTTAAATTTATTAAGATATATGTTTCACAACAAATCTAAAATTAAAATATATTATGTATAAAGTCAATTAAATAAAAAATTAGTAATAAGCATCAGTGATTCATATACTTCAACCAACCCAATAAATTTCAAGTATGTATCCAATTTTACAACTAATTAATGGTGTTGCAGTGATGTATAAGCGGGCTCAAAATAGGCTTCAACAATCAAAAATGGCTTTACACCAACTATCACTCCACAAAAGCCATTTGTCCATAGTTCTAGGACTCATAAACAACCAAACACATTTGAAATTCTTCCATGATGAAGCAAATCCAAGTCTCTTTAGAGCTATCCAATAACCTTATTTTCACTTGAGCAATAATGTTTTCCTCATTTAGAATAGTTGATACACACATTAAAGAGAGAATCTGCTAATAATTCCAAAAAATCAATATGTGGGTTGAGGAGCATATGAAGTTCACCAAGAACAACAGGTAGCAACAGCTAGTCATTTATATACGAATACCAATATATGGTAAAAAAACCATCACCATCATACATGTAGATTGGCATAAAGAACTACTTGAACCAACAGTCCAAATAAGTACCCCAAAAAATGAAGAATAAAAAGGTCAACTAAATAGTCCAAATCATCCAAAAACTAAATAGCCCAAAT